TCTGTTGTTTTTTTATTTACATTTAGCTGTAGATACCTATGGACTACAATGATACATCAAGTGGGCCGTTAGTTTGTATATTATTTTAATTGTACCTACTCAAACTATTTATGAAATATATTATTATTGTACAAGAAATTATACCGCAAAGTTTAAATTTATTTTAACGCTTCTGTACTAATTCCATTTTTAGAATTATTATGAAAAACTTCCTTCAATATTGACTTTAGACGACTTAGACGAAGAAAATATTTCCCCATTCTACTACCGTCTTGACCACTCTTAACACAAGTTTTAGGCTTAAGTGGAGTGGTTAACACAACTGTTATCCGTGATGTACATAATATTAACGTGTTAATAGTATTATTAGTACGTAACCTGTTATTAGTATTGTTAGCAATAATAGTAAGTCTGTAGTATGTCAACATGTTCAAGATTGTCCGAACCATTATATCAGATTTGATAGACCACAAATCCTCGGAAAAGAATACCGATTCCTGCCAAGGATTATTTGCGAGGCTATTGCAATTAAAACCATCCTAATTTCAATAGAGAAGATGACTGGGTGCTACCATCTGCTTGGGATCAAATTTATAATGATCAAAATTAAATCCAAACCCAAGCAGACTACTTCAAGACTTCAAGATACTGTAAGCTCGTTCTGCGTAGAAGACAAAAATTAATATTTCGAAGTTGAAGGTAACCTTTTCTAAATATGATATCGGGACGTCAAACACCTCAGTCTACCGTGTGACTATGGGCGCTGGATAATGCCTGAAACGTCGGGAATTAAAAAAATTAAAATTAAACGCGATAAAACCCGTAATTAATAGTAATAAAAATAATAGGTTTTATTCCATAGAGTAATTAAACTTAGAGTGATAGTGTCATTCAATGTAAACGCCCCTTACATTAAATACAAGTAAATAACGATTTCCCCAAAAATGGACAAAGTATAATAGTAGACATAGTCGTAAAATTTATATTTAGGTTGCGTTTAGAATTACTTATTAATAATTTACAAAGAGAGAAATATCAAATTACTTATATTTGTTAAGTAATATTTTATTAAAATTATTTATAGACGTAATATCACATGCTATAATAATATTCACAAATCTTTTATGTCATTATATTATTCTATTAGAAAAGATATATTTATACAAGTATATAGTATTATGTGATATACTTTTTTGAATAGGCGTTTTGTATTAAAACAAAATAAGATTCGGAAGGAGGTTTTTCTCCTTATTCAAATAAAACACGAAACTAATTTTTTTTTATTAAATAACTATATACCCAAGTACTTAAACTAAACGTCTCTTACTTAATAAGTAATTAACCCTGCATCTGCAACTGTTTTCTAAATAACTGCCGCTTTGATGACGCTGTCCGCGAAATATTATCTTTTTTGGATTCATATAAGAATCGAACTCTTACATAACGTTCTACAATAAGCCGCGCCAGATTTGTGTCGTGATGTTGCGAATTGGTTTGCTCTTCTACAATTGGAAATAGAAAATAACCAACGAGTTTGGCGATAACTTCGAGAGATAGCTCTTTCTCTGAATTGTTTTCCTGTGCATTATGATTAATATGATTTCGCAGATTATTTTCAGCAATACTACAAATGGAGTAAACTTCATTAGAAATTTTCAGCAATACTACAAATGGAGTAAACTACATTAGAAACGTAAATTAGTTAGTTTTCGTTAGTTTTCTTTGCGAAGTCTTATTTTTTCAATTCATTGAGCAACACAGACCACCTAGCCTATGAGACATGTAAAGAAAGGCGACAAATTTCTGTACTTCATCTGCTCAAGCAGAGCCTATACAGTTGAACACGAACGCTACCCTGTTTAGTAGTGAACAGACAACAGACCTGTGCACTGCGTCCTTAGCACTACAATTTTTTAAAATTAAAGCAGTAAAACATGCCCACTTGCGCAGTAAAGTGGTGTGATAGTGATAGCAGGAAACGTAATTTCAAGAAGGATAAAGTCACGTTTCATCATTTAATAATCTTAAAATACTAAAACCGTGATTGGGTTCAACGTGTTCTGGTCGTAGTTCTGAGGCTGTCCTTGTCAAGCACGCAGTATTATAGTTGCGTCTCTGTCTATCAATCAGAGGGGCTGCAGGCGGCACGTGTAAGTAGAAATGCCCAAAAAAGTATCGATGCAAGTTTATCGACTATTTATTGTGTTATTATTTTTTGTGTAGACGAACAGTCATACTATTATATTTGTGTATATTAATCATATGTAATTATAATTTGAAATCTAAATTACAGTTTTACAAACCCTAATTAATAAAAAAATAAAGGTAATTTTTGTTTACATTTTTATATTACGTTAATTTTACCTAAAAACCTAAGATATTTTCACCTGACCGTCGCGGCCGAGGCCGAAACAAAGTCATGGTTTTCGAGAGTATGTATTATGTTTGTGTATTTCTTAGGCACATTCTGCTCTTAACGAATTTATGGTAAGCGATTAGCGTTGTAAATGACATGTAAAATACATGTATATATTTTAAAGAACTTTACTTGTATTAAACGGTGTATTTTACGCATCATTAATTTGTTTATAATTACGTTACGTTTTCATAGTCTCCCATATTTACGCGTTCGATTTATGGATGTGACACATCTCTAAGTTACATCTCACGCGCCACTCGCACACCTTTCTTTCTTCTAACCTTGACAGACTAATTTAATTAGAAAAATCACAATGCTTTCATGTCTTGTGGGCTGGGTGGTCTGTGTTGAGCAGCAACAGTCGGACCAGACGAAAATCTAAAAACGAATACGTTTAAATTGGCAATAATATTCACGTTATTATCAACTTCACTTCATTAAAACAAAATAAATATTTTTGTGCTATTTTGGCTAAACGTTAACTATTGTCTTTACCATAATTTAATACACCACTGTTGGCTAGTGGCAAAACGTATCGTCTTTTTAGGAAATGACGAAAGTATGTACCTAAATCATTATTAGAATTTTAAAAAATGTTCATAGGGTATTTATTCTAAAACACGTACTATAAAAAAGATAAAAATAACTGCACATTAACAAAACAAAATAAAATCAACACATTTTTTTCTTGGCAAGTGGGAACCCTACTAACTAACTACTAATAGTATTTGGCAATCAAAAATACCTACTCATGCCTGAATATTGTAGGTATTACAACAATAATAGTCCCATATTGGCAGTATGTAATTATAATAATAAGAAAATATGGGGTAAAATATTTTACTATGCCTAGCAACATTTTCATTATATTGGTGTCTGTCAAATTTAAGATTTATTATTTTGTTTTGATGAAGGTATTTTTATAAAAATATAAGATGCTAAGCAGTAATTACCAGTGAAATGAGATTTTTAGATTTTTTTCATGATTATGTGATGAGTTGTGACACCCTTTTAAAGCACAGTAAGTTGTTTTTGTGCAAAATGGCGCGAGCTCATTACACGACTACGTGGACTCGAGTACTGACACGCGGAAAGTCGTACTTAGTCTTAAAAGGCTAACTTGAAAGGGCTTCACTTTGCATGCGCCTGCTGCGGTTCCAAGCCTAATAATTCTATGTTTTATTCCATGTGTAGTATTCGGGTAAATATAATAATGTCCTCCAGACCGAATTCCAGCCACGGCGGCCAGCCTCAACGGAAACTAGCCATCGGCACAGGACAGGATTATAGTGCCGAAGTATATGCGCAAGCACAGGTGCACTCTCTATTCCCTCGTTGATGTCTTCTTCATGTGTCTTTTAGGCACATGGAGGTTTCGGGCCTCGGGGTAAGCCCCCATTACCCGTGCTGTCCTCGCGGTCCACTACTATGGACCGGTCCTGGGAGCCTTCTAATGGCATTGTAGGTGTCAAACGGTTGTCGCTATCGGTAATTTTTTTCGTAGTCGGTTATGACTACGAAAAAAAGGGGTTATCTATTAAAGTCGGAGTTGGCCTTTCAGCGGCATTGAGGGTTGTTACTCGACTCTCTAATCGATATAGAGAGGAGTTCTCTTGGATAGGGTCGCCCGTCCGGAGGCCGAGTGTGTAGCGGCGCAAAGTTGTTAAGATGTATATGCGGCCCGTTGTCTGCACGGTCGAACAGTCCGCGCGCCAACCGGGCCACAAATTCCTGTACTCTATTCCCTTACTCTCATAGTTCGATGGGACGTTAAACCGACACGACCGGAGAGAGATCAAGTGCAGGACCAACGGCTTTACGTGCTTTTCGAGGCACGGGAGTGAGACACCGCCAACTTCCTGACTCCAGGCAACTACTGAGAATTTATTGACGGAAAAACTCAATAACTAATTTTTTGGCCCGACCCGGGATTCGAACCCAGGACCTTATGATAGCAGTCGCACTACTACAACCACTAGACCAACGAGGCAGTCAATATAAGAACTTTTTAAATATAAGACATTATTAGTATTGTTACCATTTTTTTTATTAAACTGATAGTTTTAATAAACCGCATCAATAGTGAAGTGAATATCAACCGTGTATAAACGGTGTAAGAGTATCTACTCCACTATATCACTCCGTGGGTGCCATAAGAGGCGATAGTAGGGAATTGACACAGATAGCAGCATCTTCCTGTTAACGACTCCAATAAAACTGCGGCTGCCAATCCACCTGCCACGCGTGGCAACTATGGCAAATTCCCCCCCCCTCCCATGAGTTAGTCTAGGAGAGAAGCTTATTTTAAGCAGTGCATTTCTATAGGCTATTATCAATGAATGAACGATCTAGAGTAAAACGGTAACGGTAACGGTAAAGAATATTAATTATTTATTATTAGTGTAATTAAACAATAATTACCAAATACGTAATTAAGTAAAAGTATGTATAGACATTTTCTAAATTTGCATTGTAGTTAATAATAACTGTAAAAGTACGAATAAATAGCTTACTTAAATGTCATGTAATTGGAACTATATTAGACAGTTTTCTTTCATTAACGCAAGAAACAGCACTCAACATGGCTCTCACTGTACAGGTAAGATTTATTTTATGTCGTTCGAATAGATTTTTACTCATTCGAATTTCGCATTTGCTCATTGAACTCCGCAGTATTTATTTTTAACCGCCATTTCACAATTAACATGCACCCAACGATGGTACAATGTTTCGTAGAATCCGATTTTACTTTTTATATTGTTATCGCTGTTGTTATCTCCGTACGTTCGCATATTTGTATATTCTTATTGCTATGTCCACCTTTAGTTCAAAAACAGCGCTGATTCGATGTTTTTATTCTTTATCAATTAATATCAGACGAAAAAATGAAGATTTAATAATAGGTCCTTACATGTGAAATTGGTGTTTTGTACGGGAGGAATATAAAGTCTTTTTTTTTTAAGTAAAATATATTTAATTAATCAAAGTATGCACCGTTGTTATCTATGCACTTTTGCCATTTCATGGGTAGTTCATTGGTCCCTTTACTAATATAATATACTAATATAATCAATAAACTCTTTGAAGGTCGTTTGGACTGTCACATCGGAGTTGAATTTTTTTCCTTGTAAGATGTTTGTCCAAATTCCGGGAAAAATCGTAATCTGTCGGAGCAAGGTCCGGAGAGTACGGTGTATGTCGCAGACATTCCAATTGTAGCTCATCTAACTTAGTGGTTATTTGTTGTACAGTGTGTGGTCTTGCGTTGCCGTGAAGAAGCAGTGGCCTAGAGCGATTAACCAATCTCGGTTGTTTAGGAGCTAGTTCTTCCTTCATGGTTTGCAGTTGCTGATAATAGATATCTGCCGTAATCGTTTGGCCAGATTTTAGAAAGCTGCAGTGAACGACACCGGCGCTAGTCCACCAGACACTCACAAGTAACTTTTTCTGAGTCAATTTTCGTTTAGGGCAGGATTTGGCTGGGTCTCCAGGGTTCAGCCATTGCAACGAGCGCTTCCGATCATCGTACAGTATCCACTTTTCATCACAAGTAATGATTCGATTTAAAATCCCTTAATTTTTGTGTAGGTTGAGCAAAGTAACACAGCAGTTGACGCGTGTTTGCAAGTTTGATCCACTCAATTCTTGAGGTACCCATCGTTAAAGTTTTTTTACTTTCCCGATTTGCTTCAAGTGGATTAATACAGTTTTATCACTTACCGCGAAGCCTGCAGCTATCTCTAAAATACTTTGTGATGGATCTCCTTCAAAATAGCCTTTGATTCTTCATTTTCCACTTTGGTCTTCTGATTCTGATTCTGATTGGTTGGTTCTGAAGGTCGAAATTTCCAGAACGAAAACAACGAACGTTGAGACTAAACACGTATCGTGCTTTCTTTTGCGATACCAGCGCTGTACACATCATTAATCCATCGAGCTGTTTCTGCAGCACGGGTGCCACGTAAATCGACTCGTAAATTTACCTTTTGTTTTCCATTGTGCGGTAATAAGCGACGCCAAAGAAATAAATAATGAGGAAAAAACAAATAAATGACTGTTTTCAAAACCCAAATGTACCAGCTAAATGAATTTATAAATTTGAATTTGGAATTCTCAACCAAAGAGGAGATATTGCAGATCAAAGTCGTTAGTACAACAAAACGCTAATTTCATAATATGTAAGGACCAATATATTACGCATATTTTAAGTGGTGTAAAATCAACCAGATGCATAAATGTGTGGTAGAGCGTGTGTTATTTTTAATAGTATAGTAAATTTGTAGTTTTGGTTTGCAAGTAATGTTCGGTTACTCGTTCTCTGTGTGTCAGAAATATTAAAACGCTATTTAGAAGTGAAATGGACCAAAAGTTGGTGAGAAACTAGCAAGTCCTTCAATTCATATTAAATACATACCTCACACGACATTCGGATTATTTACAATTTATTTGTATAATTTTTATATTGGACTGCTAAAGCAAGAGAACTTTGGTGCTGTTGTTTTTAAAATACCTTATATGTCAGTGAACTTTTTTTATCTCGAATATCCATCCCTACATTTATTACAGCCTTTAAAAGTCCGCTGCTAAACTTAAGCCTTCCCATAGATTGGTTTATAGGAGGGATATTGCCATAGTTGCCACACTTAACACTTAACTTTTTAATTATTTCGATTTGTTATCGCGAAGTCGATGCTGCTCATCTTTTGTTTTTTTTTTTCAATTTCCTTCTGTAGCCTATTACGATACTCACGGGGCCATATTTTTTCTATAGAATAAGGGTGATAAACGAGCACATAGACCACTTGATGGTAAGTGGATGCTGTGGCTTATAGACACCTACATTTATCCTCGATTAAGAATCCAAAGGCAGGTGCTTTATCACCCCTGAGGACTAAGATGGGACGCCTAATTTCTTTACACCGTCACTACACGGTTAGAATCGCTATCTTACATACGAGAAGAAATGATGATATCAAGTCCATACCAATTTCAATTGTATACTGAACAACTTCTTAAGTTTAAACCAAAATCGGTTCTGACTTTTTTTTTTCAATAAAAAAATTCGAGCTATAATGGAAAAAAAAAGATAAAAAAGAGAATAATTCCGAACTGTGGGGCATTCCATCTTGTTACTTGATAGGGACAACGCGTCTGTAGTTTTTCATTTTTAAAGTGAAATAGCTTCATTAGAAACGTTTCAGTTCGTTTCAACTGAGAGAGGCCGTGTCGCCCCACGAAGCGCGGATCCTACTTCTGAGTAATAACCACGAAGGAGATGGTAGGGTCTATTCACTCGCTTCGTTTGCTCACTCGACTACGCCGTCTTCTTCTAAACTAACCTGTCTGAGTCGAGATGCCCTAAGTCCCGAGCTCGCTTCGCTAAAAAATTAATAAATAAACATATGATTATTTAATGTGCATTATTTAGATTAAGACGTAGCAACTATCGATGTTTGCATATTTTTTAATTTTGTTACAAGATTTCTTGGAGGATAATATAAGTTATTGATTTATTTTTGAATATAATACATAGGTAATTCTTTTCATTTTGATTTATTCCGTATAAACGAAGATTTAAAAAAAAACTCATCGAAATCGGATGATTTTCCGATTTTCTAGACCATTTATGATAAAATTAAAGTCAAAAACTTAAAAAGTGAGATAAAAATTAATGAACAAACATTTTTAATGCTTTTTTAATGTTTTTTTTATGTAGATTAACAATAAAAATATACAAACTTCGTTTAACGCTTTGCATAAAAGTTATGAACGATTATATTCGAAGAATTGCGTTTATGATCACATTTAAAGTCATAAAACTATATGAAATCTTGAGGTGAGATATTTTCCATATTTTTTTTTTCATAAAACCGCCGTAAAGACGAAGATTTAAAAAAAATCATCGAAATCAAAACTTTTCGATTTTCTAGAGCCAAAAAACGAGGTGGCCGCGATAGTATAAAATTACCAAAAAGAACAACAATAATAATAGTGAGAGCGGAAAGATTCTCACATAATTTTTTATATTTTAAATTCATCTAATCTTTACGACGATTTCAGGTTATCTTTGTGGGTCTATGCTTGGCAACTATCGGCGAAGGTAATGCTGACTCATTTGCACCGTCTCCTGCTGCTATCACGTGCTGTATGGCATTGCCACCAACGCCGACAAGCCCATGTTACGTCACCACTACTGCGGCCCCGATAGCTTGCCCATTCATGACAACAACAACTGTGACTCCAACAACAATGACCACCACTACTACTACCGAGCAACCCGCAAAAAGTACGACTACAAAAATACCAAATTCGACAAGTATTAACGCAAGGCAACCAGACGTCAACGCATCATCAACAACAACAACAGAAGCACCATCAACAGCGGAGGTGCCGTTAAGACCAAATTTTGTTGTCGTACCAAATCATCCTAACCATATGCCAGTAATCTCATCACCAATGAACTACCCAATAGCTGTAGGCGTTCAAGGATTTAAGGAAGGAGAAAATCCTTCAAACATGTTTGTAGTGCCTCCATACCCTACTTTTAATGGTCCTCAGCGCTTCGTGCCTGTTGTTATGAACCCAAGTACGGGTCAAGTGTATTACGTAGTACCCAACCCAAATAAAGGTGGAAATTCGTACTCGCAAATCCTAAATGTTTATACACAAGACAAAAACACGGGTGGCTATTATTGGATGCCTGCTGCAGCGTTGCCAGAAGCAAACAATAATGCGACCACTGCAAAAACATCTATTGACAAGAACTAGTTTATTAAATTTAAATATCCAAAACATACTAATTTAAAGCCGATACAAAGCCTATAAAAGCACCAAACCTATCAAATATTTTAATTAAGTTGTACATTCTATGTTATATATAAATAAATTATTTTGTACTATTCAATGACGTGTCTTTAACTTAAACCAACAATTCAATTCAATTTTATTTAAGTTTTCCAAAAAGTTTTCCAGTAGGACAACAAATAAATATCTTTAAAATTTAACATACTGTTCTACTCTAAGGTAAGATACTCTAGAAGCAATTGTGTCATTTTCGAATTGCTCTGCTGGAGGTATGGACGGAAATATCTACGCCTCAAAATCTTAAACTTAAAGGCCTTGTAAGCGCCTGCCGCTGACACCAGCAGAGTACTCTTAAATGACATAAAATTTCGTAGTTTTATACTTTCTGGTAATATTAATCCCGATTTCATTCCTTACATTTATATGGCAAGATTAAGTGGCTTCCAAAAAAAGGATAACTGTATCCTTCCTATTGGCTTTGACTTAACATTTCGACGGGCTCGAAATTTATCATTACGTTTGGCGGTGCTACAGTCTAAATACTAACTTGTTATGTGAAAACCAGATTTTTGATTCTGCTTTTAGTGTTCATAAGGTTGACCAGCTCTTTTCAGTCTGGGCATTCAACCCATTTTTTTCTAATTTAAAATTATAACTGAATGTCTGGTACCTGGAGGACGATACACAGGGTGTATATAGAGCAGATGGCGTCTTCAACGACCTCGCTCATATATTGCAAAATTTTATAAATATTGGTCTGTATTAAACCAAATAGCAATATATGTGAAATATTATAACTATTTCTGATCAGTTGTTAAAATCCGTTGATAAATAGTAGAACCTAAACTCTTACAGACATAACTCAACACAACCACCGCTATGTACGAGGGCGACATTGAAAGCTTATAGAACTGGCCACTTGTAAACGATATAATTATGGAGTGTAGAAGTAAGGAGTGCGGATTTAACTATTTTCTATGGACACTTTTTAATACATGCGGACTATGTATTAAAAAGTGTCCATAGAAAATAGTTAAATAAGGGTGGTGCCACTATAGCTACGGGCTAAATTTTAAAGAACGTGCCGAAAAATATTAGTGGGATAGACGACTTTTTTGAGGTTATATTTACTTAATAAAATTATTTTAGATTTTAGAGCTACTGAGCAATTTAGCAGCACACTTCAAACCGTCGACAACTGATAAGTTCATTTTATCCCAGTAGCTACTCCAGCGCTGTTGTGGAGAGTTTTTGACAGTTTTTGAACTGTTATTTACTGCTTACAGGTGGCCACTTTTTCATCTATTCTACTATGGGAGTTGGTGCTTCTTACTTCTACACTCCATAGATATAATAAAAAATAAGTTCAAATTTTGAAAATGGAACTCTTTTCCAATATTATTGTGTATGTATTTTATCAATTTGTCATTTGTTTACGACTTGGCGGCAAATTGAAAATTGTCTGTGTCACGTCCGCATGAATTTAACGCTAGAAAATTTTCGTACAATGATTTTTTTTGACTTTCAATGTCATTTAAGTCAAAAAAAAAGACCTCGCAGTAGGATCCTCCTTCACCACGACAACGCCTCGTCGCACACCGCAAAGCAAACAATCGACTACTTGGCGATGTCAGACGTGGAGCAATTCCACGTCTGACGACGCCAATATATATATATATATATATATATATATATATATATATATATATATATATATATATATATATATATATATGTGTGTGTGTGTGTGTGTGTCCATTTTTACTAGATTAAAAGATAGAAGTAAAGTATAGTATCAGATCACCAGATAAAGTTATTTTGCCTTCTTTAAAAACTTGACTGTATTCAAAAAATTGTTATGTGATGGCTATTCAAGTGTAAGGCAATCAGATTATAATCGATTTAAAAGTAATTTATTAAAGTGGCGTTTGGAAAATTAATTTTATTCGGTAAATTACCTGCTAAAAATAAAAGAACGTTTCTATTGAATGATAGATACTGTCCCTTCTGTCCTTGTTTTTTAAAGGATTAATATCAAAATTGTTAACCGATGCATTTTTATTTTTATTTTAATATTGTATATTCTAACCATAAGTCTTCACATACTAAAATTGGTGAAATATATGATACATTATTCTTTTATGCGAACATCTTTCTATCGTATTTTTTATAAATTTATTATTATTTGGGGTATCTATATAGTTTTCTTATCTGGATGGGTTCTATAAATATAATAGTGTAAATGAATTATTATTATTATTATTATAGCCCCGACTTCACACCTTGCGATTTTTCTTTATTTCCGAAATTAAAACAAAATATTCTAGGAAAACGTTTTATGGGTGCCTAGCAAGCAGTGGCTGAATTTCAAAATGCCGTCAAAAAGACCCCTAAGGACGAATAGGCAAAGTGCTTCTCTCAGTGGTTCCACCAGATGCAGCGATATATTGATGTATATGGACACCATTTTGAAAAGATATAATAAAACTAATAACTTGCTAGTTTGTTCAGTTTTTGAATTTCTAAGAACTTTCAGCGTCACCCTCGTAAATATTTACACCGCTCGACTCCAGCCTGAAATTACAATCTTCATATTTTTTGTTGATACCTGGGCTGCACTAAAAGTATCGGGAATGGAATATTTCCACTGTTCCTGTCATATTAAAATCTTTTTAATTGAAAACTCCTTGGTTTTAAAAATCGAATACCATTTATTTATTTAAAAAAAAATTCTCGGTCTTGTCACAAGGTTTTGTCAAACTTGTTTAGTCGTTGAGAAAATGGAATTGACTCGAGATAATTCAAGAGCGATGATTAATTATGACTTTCGAAGTGGTTTAACACAAAAACAGTGTGTTGACCGGATGATTTCTGCATTTGGTGATGAAGCCCCATCCAAAACCACAATTTATCGCTGGTTTGCTGAATTTCAACGTGGACGTATCAAGCTCAGTGATGATCCCCGTCAAGGTCGTCCAAAAACTGCAGTCACCCAAGAAAACGTTGATGCTTTGCGTAAGCTGATTGAGGAAGATCGATATGTGACATACCGAGAAATTCAGGCAACTTTAGACATTGGCATGAGTCAAATACAAATAATCTTGCATGAACAATTAGGTTTAAAAAAGTTGTTTTCCCGATGGATACCGCATTCGCTCTGTGAAGAGCAAAAAGCGGCTCGCGTTACTTGGTGCAGAACTCTCGAAAGATTCCACGCAGGATCCTCAAATGCTGTATACAACATCGTATCAGGTGACGAATCCTGGAAAATGGATGATAAAGAGAACTGCAACCGCCGCATCATCCTCCATCACGACAATGCGAGTTCTCACACCGCACACAGAACAACAGAGCTTTTAGAGCAAGAAAACATAGAATTATTAGACCATCGGCCGTACAGCCCCGACCTAAGCCCTAATGATTTCTATACTTTCCCTAAAATAAAGAATAAATTGCGTGGACGGAGATTTTCATCACCTGATAAAGCTGTGGACGCCTACAAAACGGCCATTTTGGAGACCCCAACTTCCGAATGGAATGGTTGCTTCAATGATTGGTTCCATCGTATGGAAAAATGTGTCAAATTTCACGGAGAATACTTCGAGAAGCAATAAATACATTATATAGTAATGTTGTGTCACTTCCTTGATTCCCGAAATTTTCAGTGCCGCCCTCGTATCCACTACGGCGTGAGAGTCATAAGAGGCGAAAGAGGGAAGCAAATCAGGAGATGGACAGGAGCATGTTTCCAATAACGACTAAAAATAATAACCGGCGGTTGACAACTTGCTTACCAAGCGTGGCAACTGTAGCAAATGTCACTCCTATGAGGCAATCTACGGACAAGGCCTATGTTCAGCAGTGGACTTTAATAGGGTTACGGTAAATATAGAAAATAATCTAAATTAAACATTTGATACAAATACCTGGACTCAAGTTACTTTATTTTACGTATAAAATTTGGAGGTGTAAGTATTTAAGCGTTACGTCGCCAGATTTTTCCATAGTGTCTGGTGGGTGCGATTTAAAATGAGTCACTAATCAATTTTTTTATAGTAGAGGGGGCATACGAGCATGCGGCTCACCTGATGTTAAGTGACTACCGCCGCCCATGATCAACCGCAACACCAGGGGAATTGCAGGTGCGTTGCCGGCCCTTTAGAAAGGAGTACGCTCTTTTCTTGAAGGTCCCAAGGTCGTATCGGTCCGGAAAAATCGCTGGTGGTAAACTATTCCACAGAGAGGTTGTACGCGGAAGAAAACTCCTCTTGAAACGTACAGTGGTGGACCGCCAAGCATGTAGATGGTGTGAATATTATCGGGAAGTTTGCCGCGTAGTGCGTTCATGAAATTTGGCGGCTGGGATTAATCCGAACAATTACTCAGAGCACTCCCCGTAGTATATACGAAAGAAAATGCAAAGAGATGCAACATCTATTCGTAGCGCCAGTGAATCGAGCCGATCGGAAAGCAACCGGTCGTCGACGATTCGAGCCGCTCTGCGCTGAATGCGGTCAAGTGGAAGGAGCTGGTATTGGGGAGCTCCAGCACAGAGGTGGGAACAGTATTCCATGTGCGGCCGAACCTGCGTCTTGTAAAGTTCCAGGCGGTGTGCCGGCATGAAATACTGTCCCGCTCTGCTGAGCACGCCAAGCTTTTTTAGAGGCCAATTTGGCCTTCTCTTCCAAGTGACCACGAAACTGCACGTCACTCGATATTTCGACGCCGAGGATTCCGATACTGGCTGAGGCAATAAGGGGAGTGCCTTGAAACTGAGGAGATACGATAAAGGGGTTCTTTTTAGCGGTTAACGCGCAAACTTGTGTCTTCTGGGGGTTAAACTGGACTAGATTTAGTCGCCCTCAATCCGAGACTCAGTTCAGCAAAGACTAGACTTCAGACACAAGTTTGTCCCGGCACTCTCCGGAAATATTGGCTCGGCCGGTGTAAAGAGCATCACCAGT